GATTTCACTCATATATGGAATATAAGAACAAAGAAAAAACTGAAGGAACAAAACAGCAGCAGAATCACAGAACCCAAGAATGGACTAACAGTTACCAAAAGGAAAGAGACTGGGGAGAATGGGAGGGTAGGGAGGGATAAGGGCGGGGAAGAAGAAAGGGGGTACTATGATTAGCATGTATAATCTGGGGGTTGGGGGAAAAGGGAGGGCTGTGCAACACAGAGAAGACAAGTAGTGATTCTACAAAATCTTACTATGCTGATGGACAGTGACTGTAATGGGGTTTTGGGGGGACGTGGGGTAGGGGAGAGCCTAGTAAACATAATGTTCTTCATGTAATTGTAGATTAATGATAACAAAAAAAGATAGTCTTAAATTCTACCAAGCCCTGCTCTGCTTCTCCCCCTTAGATGTTTCTCCACGATTTTTCTTTGCTCATTCTGTGTTTCTCTCCAGATTCTTCCCCAGACCTTGCTCATGCCCATGACTCCTCTCTGCTTTCCTCTTTGTCCTGTTCTGAAACAGGCCAGAGGGGACTCAGCTCAGAGGTGGTCACTGGCAATGCTCAGCTTCAGAGGAGGACCTGGTGGTTCTGGGAGATGTTTCCAGAGGCTTGTGGGCTTTCAGAGGCCAGACTATGTGAAAGCTGAGCAGTCCAGGTGGAGACCAAAGGCTTCTCACTGGAGAGCCTTGCACGGGGGTGGGGGTGGGGGTGGCAGGTTGAACCACATGAGATGCAACCCAAATATAAGTTCTGTGTCTAGCTGTACATTTTATCATCCACTGAGCACACAATCATTTCTGTTCTGACGCTTAGTGGAAGAGTTGGACAGGTTTAGCCCTTCCTCAGCTACTCTTCAAACTTGAGGCTCCAGAGCAAGCACCCTGGCTGGCTTCCTGTGGTCTGGGGCCCTGTGGCTCCCATCTCAGCCATTGCAGTGTTAGTTTTCTTGTTGTCTACCAAAGCCGTTCTATATTCCCTTGACCCAGTCCGCAGGAGCAGATAGAACTGCCTCAGGACAGCCTGCTTCAGATAGACCCCTTGAAGGCGAGGGTAAAGGGAATTTTTTTTAAAAATTGAGGTACAATTTATATACCCTAAAATTCACCATTTTAACCATTTAAAGTGTATAGGTTAGATAGGTTTTAGTATATTCACAATGTTGTTCAACCGTCATCATTAACTAATTCCAGAACATTTCATCACTCCAAAAAGAAACTTCTATTAGGCATTCACTTTGCCATTTCCATCTCCTTATACTCCCTAGAACCTATTAATCTATTTCCTCTCTCTGTGGATTTGCCCATTCTGGATAGTTTATATAAATGGAATCATATGAGGTGTGGAGGTGGATGTTTTTAAAAAGAAAGATGGTATATTTTCTATGATGATCATTCATTCTTAGAGTCAGAAAATTGACAATGAAAAAACTTTATTTGGAAAGTCAGTAATAACAGTAACAAACTCATTAAGAAAGGTCAGCCTGGGTTCCTTTAAAAATATCTATCTGATGGGGCTGCTGTTTCTCCACCCCAGAGCTGAGGGTGAAGCCATGTGGTCGGCTGCAGCCCGGTGGAGTCTCAGGGCTACTCTGGCTTGGTAAGGTTGTCTTTGGTGGGTGCTCTGCACTGCAGGTCTTAGAAGTGACCCTAACTTGGTGGAAGGTATAGTGATGGGACACATCTCTCCAATTTCCCTTTGCATCTCTCCTAGGGGTGAAGAAGAGAACCAGAGTCATCAAGAACTGTGTGAACCCCGTGTGGAATGAGGTATGTGAGCTTTCACCTCCTTCCTTCTCTGTCTGCTGCCCTGTCCCCACACCGCCGGTCAGGGGCCTCCTCCAGGACATGGCTTTCTTGGCTGTCCTGTCAAGGAAGGGAGGGGCTGGTGGTCAGAGGGCCCAGTAAATCCTCCTGGTGCTGGGACCCTGGAAGGAGGCTGGCTGGCCTGGCCTGCCAGGTAAAGAGGCATCTCGCCTGTGGTGGGGATGTGGCGTGGGGAGGAGCGAGATGTCTTCTGCCTCTTTCCCCTCCAGCTCTGGCCAGCCAGGCGGAGGGTGTTCAGGGGCTCTCTTGTCTGCTTTATCTCCCTCACATTGGCTGTTCTCCCTGCCCAAAGCCCACCTCCTCACCACACAGCCCTCCCTGACTAGCCATGCCCTCCTCTGGCTCCTCCTGGCCTCTGCCCCCTCAACCGGCAGCCTGCATTAGCTCCCTGGTGGTCCTCCGGGAGCCCTGGGTGCTTGTGTGGAGGGGGTCGGGACGCGTAAAGGAGCCTTTGCTCTGAGGAGGGCCCGGGGCCTGCGGATGGTCCTACCCATGCTGCCCAGCAGAGGCCTAGCTCTGAGCACACTGAGCTTGGTCCCTGGGGATGCAGGGGGTCACCTGGCATTTTCCCCAGCTGTGCTCCTGGCCAAGCTTCCTGGTAATTGGTGGGACTGAGCTGGGTGAGGCCGGGCGGCATGGGAGTCTGCCTCCTCCTCTCTTCTGCCACCCTTGGCTCTCACTCTCACTTCTGATGTTCTGGGGTCCTGTTCTTTATGTACCCATTCACTTATTTGCCCATCCCTCCACCGTCGCCATGGATGTCTGCTCAGTGCCTGGGGGACCAGGGTGAACCAGACACAGTTCTTTCTCCTAGGGGGCCACAGGCTAAGACATCTTTTCTCCTTTTCTTCCAGGGCTTTGAGTGGGACCTCAAGGGCATCCCCCTGGACCAGAGCTCCGAGCTTCATGTGGTGGTCAAAGACCATGAGACGATGGGGAGGAACAGGTGAGGCGGGTAAGGGGAACTCCATGGCCTGAAGGTGCAGGTAGGGTCCTGGTGGATGCAGACTCCCAGAGCTGACCCCAGAGAGCTGCATTTCTTGAAGACCTGAGTCTTGTGGGCCAGGCCCAGTGGAAGATGCCGGGGAGAGGCCTGGCTGCAGCCCTAGGAACTCATCCATGGGTATTTCTGAGAGCTATCCAGGCTGCGGGGAAGTAAGATGGGCAGGAAACAGGTACGCACATGTTTGCAGAGAAAGCTCGTGCCCCGGGGAGCAGGGAGGAAAAGGCTTCCTGTGTCCTGCTCCAGCCCTGGGGTGCCTGGGCACGGCCCTCTCTCCCCGCCCAGGCCAGGCTGGTGAGGGCAGCGCAGATTCCAGGAGGCAGCAGGCAAATCCAGGCTGCACTGGCAGGGAGCTCCCGAGGAAGGCTTCCTAGAAGAGGTGCGGTCTGTAGGTTAGAAGTCAGAACAGTAGGAATGGTTCACGCTGACTACACCCATCCTTGCCCACGTTTCTGTTATTACTTTGTGTTGATAGTGAGACGCTTTCCAGGCAGGGGGAGTAAAGGAGCAAAGCTGTGGTGGCAAAAGGAACCTCTCCCTAGGCAGGCAGTGGGTTCTTTTGCCCCTGGGCCCTGCCTGTGCTGGTGGCAGGGACTGGGGGGTGGGCGGGGCCAAGCCAGCTTGCAGACAGGATGGCTGACTGTGGGGATGGCTGGTCTGGGGGATGCAGCCTGTGAGGTTGCACAGCCTTGAACATCAGGATGGGGGTTCAGCATCCTTGCTGGGCATGCCAGGGTGTGTTGGGTGCCAGCGGGGGTTGGTTCATGCTCCAGCTATCATTTACTGAGGCCTAAGCCCAAGGACCAGGCATGGGCTTGCTGTCTGTGACCTGTTCACAGGGAACCTTTGTTGGGGAACTGGGTCAGCCTGTGTCTGAGGTCTGGGAAGCCTGGTTGTCTTACTCTGGGGTGGGAGAGGAGAGAGATGGAAGGAGCCAGGACTCAGAGTGCTGGGGAAGGCCAACCAGAGACTCACGCTGCAAAACACCTGGAAAGCTTGAACTCTTAAAAAGCATGGAGGAAAAACCCAACTAATTCAGTCTCCCTGTGGCTCTACTGGCCGTAGGGGCAAGACATGGTGTGTATGGGGATGGTGGGGGCACTTTCACTGGGCCATCCAAAGGTGGGGCTGCAAGGGGTGGGGGCCCAGGGGCCTGTGACCCATCTTGTCCAGCCTGGACCTCAGCAGCCCCTGCCTGCACACAGGGCTGGGGCTGGAATCAGTTCATACCAGCACCCTGACACAGACATTTTGTGGAAAAAACACAGTCTCTGACAGGCATGACTGGTGGATCTATAGGCGAGGGATGAAGCGACACTGGCTGTCCCACAAGACTGTCTGGACGAGGGTCACACAGACTGACTCAAAGGCTGGGGGAGTCTTCAGAGAGATTGAAGAAGGGAGGGCATTCCGTGTTCAGGTACGGAGGACAGGTGGGCTGAGGCCATGCAGGGTGGGGCTCAGCACACGACATGAGCAGCCTGGAGAGAATACAGCAGTGGGGCCAGATCGCGAGGGGACCTCTAATACCAGGCTCAGGATATTAGTAGCCGAACCACAGCAGTTGATGTTTACCAAGAGCTTAGCTGAATGTCTGGCCTTGTGTTGACTGTTTATAGTACAATATATTTTTAATCAGTTAGGTAGTGCAGTTATAGTCATCATCATTACCGATGGAGGAACTGAGGCTCTGAGAGATTGGGTAATTTTCTCAAAGGCTAGTGATGGCTGGCAGAGCTGTGATTGACAGGCAGGTCTGCACAGTTCATAACCACTGAGCCTCCTGCACCTCCCAGAGGCTCCTTGGAGCTCTAGGTGGGTGCTGGGCTCTTCTGGAGAGTTCTTCGTGATGATGCTGGAGTTGAGAGAGTTAGCTAGACAAAGGTGGGACAGCCTATTTACTGCAAGTCATGCAGAGGAAATGCGTGTTTCATTTTCATGATCACATTTGGTATTACAGGCCCTGTGGGGCAATTTGTAAGACCATGAAGGTGGCATGAGAACAGGGGCTGTGACCATAATTTTGATCAATTCAGGAGCCAGGTTGGCCTTCAGGGTGACAGACCAGTGCCACACATGGGCTGTTCTGACCTGTGGGTCAGAGGCCACACCAGGCAGCAGGCTGCCTCGCATGTTGGTGCCCTCTTGTTGGTGCCTGTGGGTGTCCTCTAGCTCCCAGGAGGAAGTCAGCTCCTTGAAAACCAGTTCCCTACATGACCAGTTCACTGCAGTTCCTCAAACATCAACTTGCAGAAGAGCTAACGCTCAGAACTTCCCAATTCATCAGAAACTTCTTTCTAATAACTAGTTGAATATACTTTGTGAGTTTTCCAAACATTTATCTCAATTTTGCATGTCTAGCAATTAAAAATTGAATTCTATGTCCCTGGGCCATGCAGCCTCCACAGTAGTTTGCTTGGATCTATGGTACAGAGGGGGAGCCTCAGAGCAAAGGGAGGGGACAGGCAAGGTCATTCTGTGATGCCCCCTGGGTTAGGTGTCACAGTACCGTAACTCCACACAGGAAATGTGTGGAAAAAATCTGAGATTAAAAGTATTAACAATTCTAAAGCTGCAAAAGTAAGAAACATACCAGGAAGTGGTGGGACCAACCATGTGACATTTTTCATTTTGAGAGAGAAAGGGAAAAAATTCAGTAAATTCAATTTCCTGAGCATTTTAAATTGGACACCTAATTATTGCCCTCAAGTTGTCACTGGTCAGGAAGCAAACAGGGAAATAACAGTTGAACAGGGCAGTGTCTGTTGTCATCTGACTGCCCTCGGGGCGTCGGTGAGTCCCACTGGGTCCTCATGCAGCCACCCCTTTGTTGCTGGCGGTCCGGGAATATTTCCCCCTTGGGTCTTCGGCAGGCAGATGGGTCAGGCCCTCCTGGGCGTCAACTCTCACCCCTCTGCCTCCTGCTGACCTGCCTCGTCTGCCCCCACCCGCTTCTGGAGTCCCCTCGGCACCTCCCTCATTCGGTACGGCCTCTCACTCAGCATCCCTGCCTCCAGTCTCTTGCTTTAATTCTTTTCCCTCCTCCCTCCTCTCCTTTTATTCTTTCTCTCCCATTTGGCCACCTCCACTCGCTTCTTTCTGGCTTCTGGGGCATTTGACGTTTCTCAGCTTCCCCTGATGACCTGTGGCTACCTGGCTGTCCTCGTTACCCCAGATGGGTCTGCTGGCCCGGGGTGGGGTCTCGGTGCATCAGGAGGGGAACCCATAGCTGGAAACTGCCTCAGACTGCCCAGGTCCCCACCCAACCTGAGCCCAAGGGAGCCCTGATCCAGTGGCAGGAGTGGACCAACTTTGGGTTCATAAAATCAGGTTTGAAATGCACATAAAAGGAAACCCCACTCCTAAGGATGGGAGACACACCGACGAGCACAGCGGTAGGTGCTGAACTGCAGGCCCAGGCTGCACTCAACAACTTCCTGTTTACTCTGGGCTTCTGGAGGGGTGATGACCCTGATCTCTGACCAGCCGTTCTAATCCCTGGGATGTTCAGCCCAGAAGCTCCTAATCTAGGCCACATAGTAGCATCATGGCACACAACCAGTGCTGGGCCCTGCCTGGGGTGTAACGGGCTGGGGCAGAGCTTGGGCTTCATTACACATGCTCAGGTATTAGCCATTTGTCTGTGCAGCCCTGGGTGAGAGCCAGTCATCTCTATTCCGGACCAGTGTTGCCCAGTGGAACTTTCTGAGATGGTGGCACTGTTCTGTGTTGGCTAATGTAGCTGAAGAACTGAAGTTTAAATTTAACTTAATTTAATTTAAATTTAAATTGCTAATGTGCATAATGGCTACTGTGTTGGACAGTGTCGTCTAGATTTCTAGAACAGTGTTCCAGCCCTGGCCACATGTGAGAATGAACTGGGAACTTTAAGATAATCAGTGTTTGGGCTCTGCAGTGGATTGATTAAACCCCAAGTGGAGTTGGGTGTAGGCATCAGCACTTCTTGAAACAGCCCAGGGGAGGCCAGTGTGCATTCAGGCTTGAGTGCCCACTGTGTTACAGTAGTGCTGGCACTTCTGCAAGGAATTGCTCTCAATATTTTCATGGATTAGCTGAGAAATAAGTATAAACTGTCACTCTTGTAATAGTTTATGTATGTAATTATTGATGGAAATAATCACCATAAAATAATCATGGTTGGAACTGCACATGGTAAAATTGTTGAGGAAATGAAATTGTTAAGGAAATGAAAAACTGCCTGAAGAGTCCTACTGGTACCTGTGAACACCAATCTGGGAAAACAGTTCCAGAAAAGAAAATTCAAAATGGGAAGGAGCTATATATTTGATAAAATTTGATATGAACAATAAAAATTTTTTTTGAGTCATATCTGTGTTGGGAAATTTAAACAGAAAATAACTGTTACCAATGACAATAATTTTGGTAAAATAAAAATGAATGTAAAAAAAAGGAAATAGTTTAATTGCAATGTATACAAAATATATCAACAAATTAAATTAAACCCATGTAATTTGCTCTGGAAAATGCCTTTCCAGTGGAAATTAATTCATATAGATGTATTTTTTTATTTATATGTTTGGTAAATGTAAACACAGAAGCAAAAGTCTCCATGGGGTCAAAGCATCCACCTGTCAAAATACCAGGGTCAGTAAAATGGGGGAGGCACGGGGAAGGCTGTGCAACACAGAGAAGATAAGTAGTGACCTACAGCATCTTACTACGCTGATGGACAGTGACTGTAATGGGGTATGTTGGGGGGACTTGGTGAAGGGGGGAGCCTAGTAAACGTAATGTTCCTCATGTAATTGTAGATTAATGATACAAAAAAAAAAATACCAGGGTCAAAAGGATGCTCATCTTGAGTGCAGTAAACACTGGCCCAGGCCTAGGCAGACCCCAGGGTAGGGCAGCCAGATACAACAGAGAAACACTGAGGACACCCAGTTCAGTTTGAATGTCCC